CCCAGTGCCTCTTGTGGGATCCCTTAGGGCCCCTTAGATGTTTATTCTAGGAAGACAAAGGATGCATCCATACCTAGGGGAAAATTTCATGGGTGGATTTCCATCATGAAATTCAAGGAACTTCAAGCGTATGGCCAAAACTATCCATACTACTGTGAGGGGTGCCAAGCTCCCTCCACCTTCTTGGCTCCCTTGTATTTTTTCCAGCCCTACACACCATCAACCCATCAGGCAGGGCTCCCAATGTGGAGCACTTTTGGAAGACATGAAGCTCCTGGGCCCCCAGATGCTTCCATTCCCCCTTCATGGGCATTTCAACATCTTCAATGAGGAAAGGGAGCCAGGAAGCAATGTGAGAGCTAAATACAAATGAAATCATTCAAAGGCCTGGTTGCCTGCCTGTTCCTTGGGCAATAATGCTGTTCTAGAAAGCCTTTCTGGCCTATTTCAGTGGAAATTAAAATTAAAATAAATCTCAGGCAGCCTTAAAAGAAAAGGAATAAAATTATGCTTTTACATGCAGGGATATCAATACATGTATTATATATTTTATGCATCCATAGTAAGGACACATAGAATGACCCTAATACAGACGGCCAAGCACTAACAGAGGGGCTATATTTGGGGCTTCTGCAATTATAATAACTAGACAGTTGGCCAAAAAGCAATAGGGTGATAAAGGCAAAGAAGTAAGCATACAAAAATGCACTGGGGTAAATTCAACCTCTTGATATCACTATTGAAATAGGCCGGTAATCTCTTGCTGACTAGCAATAAGTTTAAAGTATATCAAGTGATAATGAAAGGTAAGTTCTAGGTTAATGTGCAGATAGAAGCCACCACCTATCTCTTCAACTGGATTCAGAGCTGGACAAAGACACATATTCCGAGGCTGTGCAGTAACAAGAGCAGAAATTGAAGATGTTCATGTGCAAAATGAAAAACCCTCCAACTTAAACAGCGGTAATTGTTTAAAATAGTCTGAGAAAACGTGAGACAAATGACCTCCTGTGTATAGCCACTACTTATCTGGAATAAGTGAAAACAAAATGTGGGTAGGGCTTTCACCCATTCAGAAACTTAGCAAGGATCCAATATCTCTCTTTAACCATTCACAGATGAGCTACACTCCAAATATTAACTCGTTCCCAAATACCAAATTGAATTGGATAAAGCTAAAAATTCTCTGTGATCATTCATTCAGTCAATTAATATTTACTAGGTGCCAACTTTGGGCCTGGCACTGTATAAGGAATGATGAACAAGACCAGTAGGAATGCTATCACCACAGAGCTCATATTCTGGCCCTCCTGCTCTAGATGGGACCATCAGTATCTGGTCATGGTAAATCGACAGAATAGAGAGAAAACCCTATGAAGTTTATAGTCACAGATACCTATCTCCAAAGAACACCCCACAGCTCATCCTACATAATAAAGAGGTAATATGCAAATTGACCCTCATGCCCTCACACAAGATGTCAGCCTCCATGTGGTCAAATATGGCCACCGCCATGTGGTTAAAGATGGCCACCAAAAGATGGCAGGCAAGGTAGTTGGGGGTGACAAGGCCTGCAGGAAAGGGAGGGCAGTTGGGGGGGATCAGGCAGGCAGGGGAGGGCAACTGGGGGCAATCGGACCGGCAGGGGAGCAGTTAGGTGTCAATCGGGCTGGCAGGGGAGTGGTTAGGGGTTGATCAGGCTGGCAGGCAGGCGAGCAGTTGGGAGGCAGCAGTCCCAGATTGCGAGAGGGATGTCCAGCTGCCGGTTTAGGCCTAATCCTAAACAGGCAGTTGGACATCCCTTGAGGGGTCTCAGATTGGAGAAGGTGCAGGCTGGGCTGAGGAACACCCCCCTCAATGCACAAATTTTGTGCACCGGTCCTCTAGTTGATTATATTCTACATTCTAGGTTTAAGTGCCTGGTCCCACGGAAGGAAGATCATCAATAATGTTTGGGTTCTCATGTCAATCCATAAAGCTAAACTGGCCCTGCATTCAGGCACAGTGTGGTTTTTAAAAAGTTTCCAGTTACCTAGGCTCTTTAACAGTATTAAATTGTAGTTTATAATCACAGAAACAGTCAATGCTTGCCTGGCAAGTGTGGCTCAGGAGTTGAACATTGACATCTGACCAGGAGGTTAGAGGATATTCCAGGGTTTGGAGCTTGATCCCCAGTAGAGGATGTGCAGGAGTCAACCAATCAATGATTCTCTCTTATTATTAATGTTTCTCTCTCTCTCTCTCTCTCTCTCTCTCTCTCTCTCTCTCTCTCTCTCTTTCTCTTTTCCCAAAAAAGTAAAAATACATATTTAAAAAAAGAAACAGTCAATGCTTGACTGAAGTGTGCAACGCTGAGGATGGATAAAAAGCTGTAAATGCCTATGAGTGGGCTGGCCGCCCTTTTCAGTCTCACTCTGCCTCTAGGACAGGGACTAGAATGGGTGGCAGAATCTCCCCAGAGTGCTTATGAGGGTGAGAATTACATTTGGAATAGCTCACCAGCATGTGAGCCAGTGGCCTCTTACATGGAACCAAGACATTGGTTCTGGCCAAAGCTACTGCATTTCTTACCTTGAAACTCAGAAAATCACAGCTGACATATTTCCTAGCTGTTTCAGGAAATATAATAGTGTTTTTACATATTCTGCCCTTTTTCAGACATATGTTTTTTTTCAGCAGTAATCGCAGCCCTAATAGCATTTAAAGTACATTAGCTTACATGAATTTTTAAACACCACTTTTTATGCAATTTCATTTGCTCTCATTGCATGAGACTCATCTACTAGAGTCTCCCAAAATTATCAACTCAGCATCTAACTAATAAAACCGTAACCTTAATGCAGGTCTGTTTTGTTCAAACCATGGCACAGATAGACATGTAGCTAAAAATAGAAAAAGTAGTTATTCTAAACAAGAATGTGAGTCTCTGAGACAATTTTTTAAAAGTATTTAATTTATGTTTAGAAATAAGAGAGTGAAGCATACTGCCTGGAGGAAGTCGTTTAGTGGCTCTGTGACAAGATTGAGCAAAATTTTTCTTGCAATTCATTAATACCCTTAGGTTACATGTGGAAAATACAGGTGCCTTAGTGGTAATCATCCCAAATCATCCAAATAAAATACTGTTTCCTTCTTAGTGCCAGAGTCTCTGTATGAACTCAGTCTTCTCTGAACTTAACTCTCTCCTCCATCTGAGCTACAGAGAATATGCCTACTTTCACAGATCCTTCTGTTGGTAGTTTTTCTAACACAAAGTTGGGGTGGGGGAGGTTTTTAAAGCCTTTGCTGAGCTCCAGAAGGACTTAGACAGATCCTCTCCCTGAATACCCATAAACTGGAAAGATCTCAAACTACACTCTCAAAGTGGAAAAGGGATAGAGCCAGAGTGCCTCTCTCGATAAAAACAAACAAACTGATATTGTGGACATCTATTCCAAGTGCCTCTAAGGAGAGGAAGCCCCTGATCAGAATGAGGAAAGCAAAATGGAATGGTAGGTGGCCAACATGCAGAGAGCAGAAGCCTGGCCTGGGCCTGGGCCTGGCCTGGGCCTGGGCACCACTTGCACATGGGGACCCAGGAAGGTCTGCGAAGCAGTGGGGGAATTTGTTTGCAATACCTCTCCTGCTTCCTGCCACACTCACAAAAAGACCCAGTAGTCCACATATATTCCATGGAACAGTGATTCTCTGAGACTCTCTGGCAACAGAAGCATTAGCGTCCCTTGTGAAGTGCTAGAAATGCCCATTTTGGGGGGCCCACTGAAGACCTGTTAAATCAGAAACTTGCGGGTTGGCCCAGAAACCCGTTTCACAAGCCCTGCAGGAGTTTGTGATGCAAAGTCCAGTTTGTGAGCCACCACCATAAGATTAATTAAAATCACTGTAGTGTAGTTCCTCTCCCAAGACTTAGTTATAATTAGAGCATGGCAGAGCTTTCCTCCTCCAAAGGAAATGTCAAAGGTCAGCAGGCCAAAGGGTGTCAGGAGGAGGTTCCAGGAGTTTAAACCCCAGGTTACCACTACTCTTCCCCTTCACTTTGGGTTTAGGAATCTTGGTGATGGAAACAGATCTGATCCACCCCAGAGCCCGGGGGCAGTAGGCAACTTCCCGCTACTTAATCATTCCCAAGTAAACAAGCAACATCATTGGTAGTTATAATAAACCATACAGATCAAGAAAACCCACCAGACCTTCTCTCCAATGCAACTAAGATGCCATTAAACCTTCTTTACAGCTTCCCCAAGCTTGTGGCAATTTATGAGAGACCACGTAAAACTCAACAATAACATATTAGTCAATTTACAAGTTTAAACTTTAAAGCAAATGCTCTTAAACCACTAAAACTCTTGCCTATCACAGGAACATTTAAACAAGTTTTCCCCCTAAAATTAATTTTCAGCCCACTAAAAGAGACCAGTGATCTATTCTTGGGCAACATAGACCCCAATTTTTAATCATGCACTCAGAATTTTTCCACCTCAAAAAAGAAGTCACTCATTCACAAAGCCATGATGTACTACTAAATGGCTGTTACTTTGTTTCCTAATGCTGTTCAAATTCCAAAAGATGAGATTTCTGAAAAAGTAGTCACAGCACCAAAAGCCTACCACGGAAGATCTGGAAGTCAGAATGACCAGGAGAACCTTTCTGCACAAAATACAGATGGCCATAATTAGCCTATGTCCATCAAGCCTTGCCTTCCTTTCTGAGGCAAAAGGGAAACTTGGGCACTATTTGCCTACTTCATTACTAGTCACTTGATATTCAAGAAACCAGTCAATTGAGGAAACAATTGTCCTCATTGGAAAGAAGGTAGTGCTGAATAATCAACATTGTTTTGCTCTGTCTTGGTTTGTAGAATCATATCCTTGTTGCTATTTTTCAGCCTTACACCCTAGTGATTATAAATCTAGCTGCTTCCTTCTTTAGTGGCAATTAGCATTAGTCATAAGCCAAAAATGATTGCACATAAGAAGTAAAATAAACACAACCCTTCTTACCTTTCATGCCAAACTTGGAGTGTCTTGCTAACTTCAGCAGAAACAGCATTACCACCAGACAAAATCCCACTACAGATGCAATTATCACCACAGCATAGACCTAGAGAAAGGAAGGGGGGACCATTACGGTTTTGCTAATTAGTTTCCAATATCCAGATGATGATGATGATGATGATGATGGCAATTAATATTCATAGGATGCTTACTACCATGTTTCCCTGAAAATAAAACATCCTCCTAAAATAAGACCTACTTACAGGTTTCCTTCTGAGTGAAATATAAGGCATCCCCCCAAAAACAAGGTCCCCCTAGGCTCTGTCTCAGAATGCTATTGCTAAACATGAGAGATTTGGTCCACTGATTCTGAAAGAAATGGAGTCACAAGAAATTCACCAGGAAATTCAGGAATTGGATTGTTATGATGATGTTCCAGAAGATGATGACGTGATTGTCATTGAATAAATGAGTAAATTCTTGATACTGTAGGATTCACAGTTTATCTGGTTTGTGTTGAGAACTACCATACTACCGTACCATATACAGGTAATAAATTTCCTTTATTTTCATTTAACAATAAATGTGTACCGTATTCTTCTTCATGGAAAAATAAGACATCCCCTGAATGAAAATAAGACCTAGTGCATCTTTGGAGGCAAAAATTAATGTAAGACACTGTCTTATTTTCGGGGAAACAGGGTACTTGCTCTGTATATCAATTGTATGTATATCAATTCACTTAATTCTCAACAAACCTATGTGATGTATTATTATTCCTTTTTTTCAAATGAGAAAACAATTCAAAAGTTATAAAATGCATTTCTAACTGATATTATGTATGTATATATATATATATATATCTATATATGTAATTGATATTATGTAGAGACTGAGATACAATATTAGATATATCTATATCTCTTCCCATCTACCTACCTATCTATCTACCTGGAGAATAGAAGAACAAAACATGAATAAAAAAATACTGATAATATTTGAAGTTGGTGAAAGATATAATGAGATTCATCTTACTGTTCTTGCAACTGTTGTGCATGTTTGAAAATGTTTATAATAAAAATATTTTTAAGTTGGCTATTGTTGCTCTTAGAAGTCAGTGTTCTCTGGAGTGGGCCTGGAAAGGAGCAAGATGGCACTTGTGGGTGAGTTCCGTTGTGAAAGCTCATTAGGTTGTAGACTTATGATGTATATACTTCTTTATATGCATGATAGAGGTCAATTCAAAGTTGTTTATTTTTTATTTAAAAATGTAATTGCAAGATGTGGATTCTACAAGTTGAGAGAGTAAATGCAGAGAGTAAATTCTAAGTGAATCCTGTCTCAACCCTGAGCTGGAGATCATAGAGGCACAAGTGCATGATGCTAACGAAATGCACAATAACATTTTAGAAATAAAGATGGATGCATTTATGAGCTGTGTATCTCCTTCCATTCCTACTGCTCACCCCAAGGCCCTGCTACCAAGAAAAGTTTGATTCTCTACACCAGGACTGGCAAGCATTTGTTGTAAAGGCAGATGATTTCATTGCTGTAGCAAGATCTTAGATTAAGGCAGTGGTTCTCAAACAGGGAGAATGCTTCACTCATGGGACATTTGGAAAATTGGGGTTGGCACAACTATGGGAAAGCATCTAGTAAGTTGAGGCCAGGGATGCTGCAAAAACATCCTAAAGTACCTAGAACAGCATCCCAGTACCACAACAAACATGTAGGCATCGACAGTAACAAGGCCAATAGTGCCAATGTTGAAAAACTCTGCTCTACTGCTCTCTCCTCCTCTGCCATAAATGCTCAATTTCCAAAAGGTGGCTGCTTGTCAGCCTAGTCTTGCAATAAGGATGAGGCTGGAAGAACTTTCTGCCAACACATGTGCTAAAGCAAGAATTAAAGCTTTGTTGCTTTAAGTCACTAAGATTTGGGAATTCTTGTTACTGCAGCATAGCATAACCTAACTGATACATCCTTACAGTGAGAGGATTAAGAATGTGGGTTCTTCCTGAGTTTAAAATTTAGATTTACTATTTATTAGTTTCATGACTTCAAAATTACTTAATCTTTCAGAATCTTGTGATCTTCATGTATAAACAGGGAATATAATAAGTCTACTTTACAAGTTGTAAATCCTCAGTGAGTTAATGCAGATAATGGGCCTGGAATAATATCTATCTACAATAGATATTAAATGAATGTCAGCTATCATTTTTCCTGAGTTTATTGGGTGACATTGGTTAACTAAACCATACAGATTTTAAGTGTACAACTCAGCAAAACATCATCTCCACAGTGCATCTGCACCCATCATCCAGAGTAAAGGCTTTCTCTGTCCCCATTTATCCCCCTTTGCCCTCTTCCATCCATCCCCTGCCCCTTTCCCTCTGGTTACCACCATACTGTTGTCTGTGCCTTTGTGGTTTATATATAGTTTCGTTTGTTTGTTTGTTTGTTTGTTTTTGCTTAATCCTTTCACCTTTTTTCCTACCAAGCTTCCTATGTCAGCTATCATGATGATCATAATAATGATAAAATAGATTTAGGAAAAATTAATAAGCAGCCCAAGATCCCTTCGAAGCTTGGGATTTGAATGAAAGTAAGTCTGCTCAAGTATAAACCCTAAATTTACCCACTCTATTCCCTCTCCTAATCATGTGGCTGGAAGGGAAGACAGGATAATAAAAACACATGGCTAATCCTCCACAACACCTCTCTGGTGTCAGATGGGGACAGCATTAAATAAGTCACAAAGAGAAAAGCACATGCCAAGCACTTGGCAAAGGCATGATAATTCTCTACTCTAGTACTTGAGCTGTGAGTGGCTCTCTCACAAAAAGATTTTGCAAGTGTCTAAATATACACTAAACTCTCTCCACAGACTACATACAAACAACATGGTAATGATTCCTAAAAAGCTAGCTTTGGATCAACTTGTTCTAACCAAGATCATTTCCCTCGATTTGCTTAATTAGTTTGGATATGTTTGTTTTTTGTTTTGTTTATCTTTGTTTCTAACATTTTCATAGAAAAGAGATCACGGTATTTTAGCTCTAGGTTTCTCCACCCTATTAATACTTTCAGACTTCTGTGGGTAGAAGAATACCTAAAGAAACAAATTCAAACTCTAATTTACCGATAAAGAACCTGTGGTGGAGAAAGGTTGGAGGACTTAGCCCTGAGTCCCAGGACCTCTCTGAAGTCCCACAGTAGTCTCTTATCACTTTGGAAAGTACTTGAGTGGCCTTTAGAATATCTGAGTCCTTATGTTTGCAGAACACTTTGCCTTTACCTGTAAGAACTAGATCAGAGCCTTCACTTCCCCAAGTCTCTATTTCTTCATTTGTCCATGTGAATAAGAATATCTGCACTGCCTTCTCTGCATTATTAAAGAACACTTAATTCAACCTTGCAGAAAAGGGGTATTACTGCTGAAAAGCAATTATTGATTTGCCACTGCTGAAAAGCAATTATTGATCTGCCAACAAATACTTAGACCTATTAAAGCAGCTGTTAAATGTAAAGAGTATTTTAATAAACAAAGATTCTCTTGAAAATGAGAAGAACCATTTCCTCAAAAATGGTTTCATAAAAACAGAGTCAAATTGTACTGTGATTGTGTTGGGAGTAATATGGTCTTTATATGGGGACAAATAGGAGTGAGTTGGTTTGTTTTGGTGGTTGGGTTGAAAGGTTGGTTGGGGTTTTGTGGCTTGACTGGCTGTCTGGTTGGTTCATTTTTACCTGAGGATATCTCTTAGCATAAAACAAGGAGTTGTCCTCCTCTGGAAATCCAGCAAGTTTCATGGGAGCACTTGGAACAAAAGTGAGGGTTTGGGGCTGTCTTCTAAGTTCTCTAACAACTTTAATTTTTGCATCAGCTCATGGCTCTGGAATTTTTCTTTTAATTGAGTAATCTCCCCTGCCCTTGTGATCATAGACTATATATATATATATATATATATATTCTTATCCACACATAATTTTTAAATTTTCTTTTAAATTCTAAAAATATTGTCTTATACCCCCCATTCATATTTCCATGGGCCTCAGATAGAGTCGTAAATGTAGAGACTTAACCCAGATTATTTTAACTGATCTTGCTTCCCAGTGATCCTCCTGTAGACAGTTCAAACATCACTAAGATATGCCAGTGAGGAACTTAAATTTATCATTTGGATTCAAAAGAGAAAACTGCAGTTGACATAATTTTTAGTAACTGGAATACCTACACACCTGTGGTCTTAACACATACTCTCAAATTCCTATGGACACAAACAATTGTTTCAAATCAAAAATATTAAGTGGTTGCAAGTTAGAATAAAAACTGAAATGATTGCACAAGGCAGAAGGTAAAAGCATTCTACAGTTGACTGATCACAGCATTTGTCCTGCTGTTACAATGTAATGCATAGAATCATCAGTGGAAATGTGTGTGTGTGTGTGTGTGTGTGTGTGTGTGTGTGTGTGTGTGAATAGACTGGATGTGCATATTTTGAGCCTCCCATTCTCTCTGCCATAGCCCTTGTTTAAATACACATCACACCTTTGTATTACTGTACCAGCCCTAACTTATCACACCACTTCCAATCTCTCTGTTTGGCAACCCAGTCTATAGTATTCACATGAATCTAATCAGCCTAATTTTCATTGAGTACCTCCTTGGTACCAGGAATTATTCTAGTGACTAGGGATACAGCTATGAAAAATACTGACCAGGTTGCCTACTGAGAATCTTACTAAAGATCCTAGGGAAAAGAAAAAGACATTAAACAAGCAAACAAATGAGCAAGCAATGTAATTAAAGACAATAATAACTACATAGGGAAATGGCTGCCTGCTGGCCATCCTACATAAAGCCATGTGGTGACTTTGGGAAATGCATGTTAAGGCTGTGAGACAAGGACAAACCTGGAGCATGCAGGAGATTATTTTTAAAAGACAGGTGGTTTCTAGCTGGTGTATCTCAATGGTTGAGCATCAACCCATAAACCAGGAGGTCATGGTTCAATTCCTGGTCAGGGAATATGCCTGGGTTGTGGGCTAGATCCCCAGTGTGGAGTGTACAGAAAGCAGCTGATCAGTGATTCTCTCTCATCATTGATGTTTCTATCTCTCTATCCTCTACCTTACTCTCTGAAATCTATTTAAAAAAATTTTTTAATGACAGGTGGTAAGCAGTAAGGGGATGTGGGAGATGAAGTCAGAAAGACAGAGACCAGCAAGGTATATAGAGGCCATGTTAGCCACTGTGAGGATTTGGGCTTTTATAATGTAAGTTTTTTACAATGTATTGGGAAGACTCTGAGAATGATAATAAAAGAGTGATCTGATTTGTGCTTTTCAAAGGTCACTCGGGTTGCTGTGTCGGGGCAGGAAGATGACAAGAGTGGGAGAGTAGGAAAGGTAGAAGGCGTGGCAGTCACCCAGGAATGAGCAGTGGTGGCAAACTCCCTCTGTAAAGGGCCAAACAGTAAATATCTGCAGCTTTGCAGGCCTATAACTACACCTGGCATTCTAGCACAGCACAAAAGTGGCCACAGACCATACACCAATAGTCATAACTACTTTTCAAGCAAACTTTATTTATGAACAGATATTTGAATTTCATAAAATTTTCATGTTACACATCATCCTTCTTTTGATTTTTTTTTCAAACCACTTTAAAATGTAGAAACTATTCTTAGCCTGCAGACCTCACAGAAACAGGTCCTGAGCCAGAAGCTGGCCCACAGGCCTTGGTTTGCCACCTCTCTCCTCCCCCCTAACCATCCAGGCCAAGTTAGCCTACAGCTGTGGCTGTGGACGTGGGGAAATATTTGGAGTTTATAAGGATGCACAGTTCACAGGACATGCAAAACTGGATTCGCACAACAAATGAAGAAAAGGGGGAAATGGAGGAAATTTGCTGGGTTTTTAGCTGAGGCAACTGACAGATCACCCCAACCCTGGAGCCCTGTGATCTTGGGGCTCTCACAATCCCCTTTCAATTGCCTCCCTCACTGTGTAATAAATCTAACCACCTGGCACTGTGTTTTAAATCCTCATCACCTGGCACAGCCAACTTCTCCAATCTTGCCTCCAACTGCCACCCTTCACCCGCTTTACCTTGCAATCACCACTGTTTTCCAGTCTGCAGGCTCCTGTTCACACCCCCAAATTCCTTCCCTTCTGTTCCTCTCTGTCCAAATCCCAGGCATCCTGCACCAGCCATGGAGAAGGCCACCTGTCCTCAAAGACTCCTGGCTCTCCCAGCAGGAAGGAAAAGAGTGCCAGCCCCTCTACTTCTATTTCTCACACCACATAGCTCCACCTCTATTTGTCTGAGGCACTAGGATTCACATCTCAAGCCACTGACTGAACTTTAAGCTCAAAAACAAACAAGCAAATAAACAAAACAAAACAAAAAGACCACATATATATCCTTACATTTGGTAGGCACTGAAACTTTTATTAAAATATTTAAGAAGATCAGTGTGGAGATGTGGAAGACAGAAATAATTATATATGTGCCTGTATGAGAAAGCTGCTTTCTTGCTCTTTAGTAATAACTTCTTAAAGGACAGGTATTTAAAACAGGAACCGCTAGCAGTAAGTCAGAGGCTACCTTTGTCACTTCTCTTAAATCTTTCTATTATCCCTCCAGTAGTCAATGCCATGTTTACATCTGAGCAATAAAAAGGTCTTGTTGAAAGTCTTGCCTTGAAGCAGCTCCCAAAGTCTTCTTTTGGTTGATGTATTTCATTTTAGACAAACATTTTTAAAACATTAAGAGTAAAGACAATATCCTAGCTACCTCCAACAATAAGCATCCAATATGCTCAGAACCAGCCTAGGAAGCAACTATCTATCCCACTCACCGAGAGAGGCTCCCGCCCGGCTTTGTCAGCAACATCTGTGGAAGGAAACTCGTTACTTCTGTTCGTGGTGTCCCCGATGTCATTCGCTGCAGTCCCAAAATCTTAAATTGGAGAAAAGGGAAAGAGAAGAGTGAAGTTGTCATTAAGCTATCAGCAAACACCAAGCCACAGTATGACCTAAAACAAAGCCAGACAGATCACAAGATTCCAAACCACTGGCAGCCTGGCTGGGGAAGAACAGGACCCGACTGCTGGGTTAAATCTATTGCAGCACTGGGACTGCCCACTGCCAACTATGTACTCAACCCAGATCTCTGCATCCTTGTTTTAGTGGTCAAATTCTGAACCTTGGTTAGGTTGTTTCTTTGCACATAAGATTACATGCCTTTTCTGATGAAGCACTTGGCATAAACGCAAGAGAATCAATCATCTAGGAGTCACAGATTTATAGACCTGGGAGAGTCTTTAAAGACCAAGTCTAACCATCAGTTTTGCAAATGAAAAATGTTCATTAACTAATCTAAGGTCAACTGGAAAGAAGCTGGCAGAACCTAGATCTGAACCAGACTGGAAACCAGCAGCACTGACCCCAAGGCAGATGCATCCTATTTGGGTAAGAAGCAGCCACTACAGATGAAATGTGGAATCAAACTGATATGGAACTTGGGTACACACATTAACTTTTTTGAAGAGTTATGAACCAATAATGTTTCTGTTTCAGAATTAATAGACAGGGAACTGTGCCAACACAATCTTTAGAATTGTAACAATGCATTATCACATCAACATGTCTCAAAAGTAGTTGCAATCTTTTGAATCAGTTTCAGAAAATTAATGGCTGATTTTTTTTGTATGAGCCAAAGTTTTTATTAGCAATATTGCATATAAAAGTCAGAAAATTTGATAAACATAATGCAGACAATGTTCTATATAAATATTTGGTGTGTTTTTTTTTTTTTTCCTAAATAGATATAGTGCCTTCAATTTGCATCCTGAATAAACAAACTCATTAAGTCAGCCCCAGCTAAACTCTCTTGATAGAATTTTTATGCAAGCCTTGGGGTAACCAATTTAAATTATATTTTTATTAGAAGTGTTCCTTTGACTATGAATGCAAATAACAGGAAAAGCATCTATTTTCTATCTGTCTGTTGTTTTGTTTTTTACTGTAAAACTATATGCTCACCATTTCCATTTTAAGTGTATTAAAATTTAATTTCAAAAACTAAGGGATATCATTTACTTGCTTATTTTCACCTCTTCATGTCATACCCAGCCACTCATGGCAAAATTAAATTATTAAAGTATCTATAGTTTAATATCATGGCACTTTGACCCAAAGACAAAGTGCTATCTGAGGCCAATGGAAAGATGACATTAATTCTTGAAATTACTGTAAAGGAGTCCAAAGCATAATTTTAAAATGTTAAATCACAATGAAAACATATTTCTCTGTGACAGAATTTGAAATACTCTTCCTTTAAATCATATCAAGATAAATAAAAACAAAAATAAACAAATCATATGCACAAAAATCATCCAAACCGGAGCATGATTGAATTGTAGTTTAACATGTATAAAGCAGATAAAGAAAATATAATGTCCTAGTTAAAATTAGCTTACAGAATCATTTATAGAAAAAAATGTCAGTGTATATATAAAAATATAAAATTAAAGAAAAATATTTTATTAAATAAATGTATAAATATAATATTTTAATAAATCTAACTTTGAATCAATCTCAAACTTCAGCCAAGTCTTAAAATTTAGCCTGCACTTCCCCAAACAGAGGCCTCCTGGCCATGAAGGTGGTTTGAAAATCTGTGAAAGATGGATTTTCACACTTAGCAAAACATCCCTGGCATTTGACTAAACTGGTAAAGTACAGATGAGATGTGTGGTTCAAAGTTAATATAGAGTACTTTTATGACCCCCCCCTCCTACATTCCTAAAAGAACCCCATTTTATTCAAGGGGTTCAAGGAAACTAATCTAAACTCCAGGGGTGGTTGTAGTCAGTCAACGGGTAATCTATCCTAATCATGGAGGCAAAAATGATTCATGACCCAACTGGGTCTTGAATCCAATACAAGGAGGGTCAGATGGAGGTTTCTGGAAAAATTAGCTTTCTTCTAGAACCCTTTCAAAAACTCTTTCTTTTCTCAAATCAATGTGAACAACCAGAGCCCCTTTGTTGGCCTCAGCTAATAACGTATGGCTGGGGCGGGGGAGGGAGTGTAATGGGAGGGAGGGTAATGGGGAAGGCATAACAAAGGAGGGTAGAGATGAAAAAAACTTGGGTCTCTGATGACATGATTAAGTTGCTGGTTTAATCCACCCTAAAGCATGCCCTACCTTTGAGGAGCCTGTCTGTGAGCCAAACTTCCTTATTATATAAGAAACGTAATTTTGAATTGGGTTTACTGTCATAACTAGAAACCGATACACCGCCGTTTTCTTGGTAGCCATGGCTTTTAAACAGGCAATTAGTTCCCAATTATGGAAACAAATTGTTGTAGCAGAATGGATTTACTACTTCCAAGAACAGAGCATGAGACAGAAATGCTATTTACAGGCACTGTAAATATCAAGGGAAAATAGTCATCAATATTAAATGATTTTGCCTGGTCAAAATGGCTCATTTGGTTTAGTGTTGTCCTGTGCACCAAAGGGTTGTTGGTTCGATTCCTGGTCAAGCCAAATGCCTGGGTTGCAGGTTTAATCTTACACATACAAGAAGCAACAATCAATGTTTCACTCTCTCTCCCCACCCACCCTCTCTCCCTTCCTCTCTAAGTATGTCCTTGGGTAAAGATAAATATATAGAGAGAAAACCATTTTTTTAGAAGTATTATTTTGGTCTTTGTATTACCTGAAATATATATTTAACTGCACTTAAAGGTTTTCTGTTAGCTGATTTATTTCATGCTAGACAAACAATTGGAAAAAAATACAAAATAAAGACAATGTGATAGCTACCTTCATAAATTACATCGGGATAATTTGGGTCTGCACCTAAAAAGCAAAACAAAGCAAAAAAATTGTAAGTATGCATTCAGAGTATAAAAATACTAACTTATTCCCAATAAAATGAGCCAAATATTTATTGAAGATTTGTTTTATAAGACAGGTAAATAAAATTTGAAATTCTGTTTACTTTATATTAACTCTGCTCCCCTCCCCAGGCCCACAACCTCCAACCCTCTAAAAAGGAAAAAAAAAAAAAAAAAAAAAAAAAAAAAAAAAAAAAAACTCAAGAGAAATCACAATTTATTTTAGCTGGAAAAACTCTGAGAGTCTGACAATCCAATCTTCAAAAGTACACAAGTTAGCCTATAATCTATAACACAGTCTATTGTCCAGATTTCTGACACCTATCGCTGTGTGCCTTTCCTACCAAGTTTAACCGCAAAGCCATTGGGTGACGTCTAAAATTTCTGGAATTTTCTGACTTCATCTTCCCAGATGTATGAGATGTACTGTCACTTACTTTTTCCTCAGGAATAGCTAAATTCAGTGCAAGATTGTGAAACTCACAGAAAGACAATATGGGAGGAACAATGATTTTTTTTTTATTTATTGTTGCTTTATTTTCCCTCCCTAGCATACTGTACTACATCTGAGGAGGACCTGCTTGTCACAATAAAGAAATGCCTCTCAGGTACAAAGGTTTGGGAAGCCTGGCACATGGAGGATGCCCAAACCTAGCATTTATGCAAAAAAAGGGTCACATTACTTACTCCAGCTCATCAAGGATAGGATTTTGCTTCTGGCAACTGCTTAGTCAAGCGAACCTCTCAGGATGTTTACATTCCCATTGTGGGGTTGTTATTAATATCAATTTAAATGCAGACGCAGGAAGTAGTCACCACTTTCCTCTTAGACTTCTGGCAATGGTCAAATTCTAAAAATATCCTGCCATTTTTAAGTCTAATTTGTACCTGGTTTCTTTTATTTAGTTTAAATATGTCCATCATATATTGTTCTATGCTAATGATAGAAACCCCGGTTAGTGATATTTAGGACTGAAAGGTAACTTAGGCAAGGCAACAACTAGCTCTGAGGGGAAAAACCAACAGAAAGAGAATGAGTGAAAAATGAATGGGCAACATTGGACTTGAGTTATGCACCAGCAGTGGGGATTTGAGAAGGGTTAGGCTTCCCTGAATCCTATCCTAGTAGTTTTCATTGCATAAAAAGTCTCAAATCTAGGCAGCAGAGGTGGCATCAAGCCGGAAAGCTTCATGTTGGGAATCTCTGGAATAGAATATGGGAATCTGGGGACTCCATTTCATTCCGCTGGCATTCCAATCAAGCTGCAGACCACAATCTCCCTCCCCAGCTCACTCATGTGCCAAGCAGGAATGTTTGCCTGTCTGATGTTCAAGTTCTACTTTCTGAAGGGTTTGTTGAGCATCTCCAGCTCTACACTCACTTGCACTTAGATTCTTACCTAAGGCGTGTTGCCTAGAACTATAGGAGGAAGACTAACAGGGCCTGAGGTCAGCCTAAAGCACTCCTGGGGAAAAAACAATGGAGATTGTACCAACAAGCTCTGTATTAAACCTGCAATGTCTGCGCCCCCAAGAGAAGACCCATGTGGCATTTAGGTTTCTAAACATGGTCCATAAAATCACCTTCCTACACCTCCCAAGTAATATCAAACCAGAGCACCCTATCATCTTCTTAATTTGATGCTAAACAATTTAAGTGAGGATTTTTTTTAATTTCCATCTTCTAATCTCAGTTATTGCTCATGAGTAAATCTTATAACTTCATGTAAATCTTCAGGAGTAAATCTTTATGACTTTTAACCGTAAGGCTGTACAGTTAAATGAAAAACTAACATCTGTAGGAATAAAAAAATTTGTGGGAAGATAGGTAGCCTGACAGTAGGGTTCCCTTTCCATTCTGTTGCAAAAATAAAAAATAATGGTGGAGGCCAGAAAACACATCTGTTTCTCTTCTTTAAGCTTTTAGTCTCTCTCTGATGCCCTAAAAAAATAAAATAAAAAGAGAGAAAGAAAAAGAAAAGACTCTTCTTTCAATTCTATTTTGAGATTCTCTTTAGTGTGATCTTGAAAAGTATTTCAAAGAATTCAATATGATAAAGCCATAGCAAAAGGCCTGGTCTTTTCAAATAAACTGGCCTTTGTCAACAGTGTGTTCTAGCTCATAGTGGTTTGCCTTTTGATTCCAGATCCCTTTCCTCTCCCCTTTCTGAATGGCAGGCTGACCTCAGGGCCCAAAAATATTGGGGGTTCAGATGTCTGGGTTTCATTTCTGGCTGAGCCATGAATTTAGGCAGCATGGGGAGTGAGTCCGCTCACTTTTCCTGTACAAAGCAGTCTTCCCCATGACAGGAGCGGATAATAGCATTGGCTCTGGCAAGTCCTCGGGAGTTTCGGGAAGCATAATTAATTAACATTAGTACTCTTGAGACATAAAGAGCTATTTAAGTATAAATCTTAATTAACATGATTAGTATGGGTTTATGGCCGAACCAGTCTTCACTGTTATTTGAGGCAGAAAGGCAGGTAGAACTTTCCTTTAACTCCCAGAACAAGAAATGGGAACTGACAAATGTCCTGGGGGGCAAGCGGTAGGGGGCGGGAGGGTATTTTCTCAATGCCATACATTTGGAGGAATTTCCTTTCTCTACATTCTTTGGCCTAAATACAGCAGATCTAAATCTGCCAGTTTGAGGATAATTCTAAGTGCTCTCCTTCATCCAGATGTCCTGAATTTCTTGATAAAACAGCACAAAGAAGCTGTGGGGAAAACTCTCCCAGTATTTATAATTGGTTCCTGGCGCAAATTTTGCATAGGAGACAACAGCTCCTGAATGAGAAAGCATAAGTCACTAACTCCCACTGCGTGTGTGAATGACCATTGTTGAGCTGTGACATTCTTCCTGAATGAGTAGGCCATGGAGAAGCTCTTTATGTACTGCCTAAAGAATGGGAAGTTTCAAACCAAGGTATTTTATGGACTAGTGCCCTGGTTAGGTTTATTCCAAGTCTAAGTGTTTAGTCACTTGGGTAATGATTTCCATAGGGGGGGAAAATGTACTCTTAAACAATCAACTCACGTTCATAGAGCTATCTGTCTGACCTTGGAAAGGTGTGCTGATTTGAAGATACTAGCAAAGTCTCCAGGATTTCCCCTCATAACATTCACAAGCATCATGCCATTAATTTTTGTTTAAAACTCTACGGAAAAGACACTCTCACCACCTCTTACTTGCCAGGCAGCCTACACATACACTTTCACGTCATGAAGAGGATTTTTCTAGATGTGGGATTGAATTCCAATGACAGCCACATAGTGGATCAATTTCACCTCAGACAGGCTTATTTTTGGCCCGTAAGCTAAATAGGATCCAGCAGAATCTTTGGAGAATTCTCAGATAGCTGCACACTTTCTATGTGTATGCCTGCACTGCTCTTTCTACATTTTATTTCACTCTCCCAAGCCTCCATGAGCCATGCATTAAATTTATCCTACTTCTTGCCAAACCCAATTAAAATGCATCTCAGTGCAGCAATTATTCTATATTTTTATCATTATTACTATTGATATCCAAGAGGAGTCAGTGTGGATGCCTGACCAGTGGCTTCCCCTTGGTTCTATGGGGCACCATGGCCAGTATTTCCATGCCACTCAAAAGTCAAGGCCATCAGGAATGTAACTACTTCTAACTAGTCTGTTCTCTTCCATGCTCATAGCTCACCCATTTCTGTTCTAGGGACTTTTTGTTTTTATTTCTGTTTTAATTTCTTCCAACACGCTTCATCCTCTAGCTCCAAATAGAGAACTCATTCTCTATTTGAGGACAGCAGCACTGTCATGTTAATTCTCCCAGCTCTGTGTGGCCATGCAAACCCACTCCATTATGAGCCCAGGTTGCCTGCTTCCTTGTAAGCCAGGAAACTCACAGTGTTTAAAAGAAGGGATCTCATCAAAACAACTGAGAAAATACAGCTAAAACATTTTATCAGAAATATTTATAAAAGCTAAACTTCATCAGTTACTATATGACGACAGCAGAAATACGGAGCACATGTAAACTCAAACTTGACCTGTTGTCCTTAACTTGGAATGTACCTTTTAGACCAGTAAAGAAATGAATTGCGTATATTTGCTATTTATTTTTCTTTCATTTTAAATGGGGAGGAAAGGGAAAGGAATCCATTCTATGCAAAGCCATTATCTGTATGCTCTGGCTCTGGCTACAAATCTTGTAAATACCCACAAAGATGCTATCACACAAGCCAAGTGAGGTCAAGCTCTAATTGGTCACACTGGTGTATGGCCCACGAGGGCCATTTATATCCACTGTCACTCTGGGCCAAGTCTCTTTTATTTCCACTTTCATTTATTACTCCTTGAGAGCTGGTCCTTGAGTAAATACTTAAAGAGAAAAAATAAAATCAGTCTTTTCTAAAAGCAGATTTACATTTTAAAGACACTTATAATTCTGCACTTAGTTTTTATTTTTGATAAATAAATGGTTATTTGTTTAAAAGAGGATATTTTAGAGACTCCAAGCTATACTTGTGCCAGAAAACAATTCTCCTATCACTAGCTGAGTTAAAACAAACAGAGATAATTGATAAAAATGAGGCCACAGGGATAAGAGGAGGTAAGCTCTACCAAACACTGGCACCCTACAGAAGCATTCAAAACAAAATACATCAAAACCCCACCTAAAATAGAAGCTACTGGCTTTACATGGACAGAACTGTGCATATATCAAAGCACACAGGCCACTTCTAAAACTTTTAAATGCCTGACCTTCACCCTGCACAAATTCACCTCCAACAGTTTCAAAAAGCAGTTGGTGAAATTCAAATAAAGTCTGCAGTTTAGTTAACAGTAATATACCAATGTCAGCTTCTTCGTTTTAGCAGATGTACTGCAGTGCTGCAAGATGTCAACGATAGTAAAAACTGGGTACAAGGTAGCTGGGAACTCTCCCTACTGAAAGCAACTTTTCCGTAAATCTAAAATTATTCACAAATAAAAAGTTTACTTAAGAATAAACCAAGAGCAGTTGTCCCAAGGCAGAGTCCCTGAGTTAACCTATGAAGCTGTAGTCCTTGTAACTTACAAGGAAAAAAACACACAATAATCTAGAGATTTACTACAGCAAATGTAGCCAAACAGCTAAACTTAATTAAGAGAAAGAATTAATGGTAACGGCCGCTGCCAGGGCTGTCTGGGTAAGGCATCCAAACATTGTGTGTTTTACACACTCCTGGAAGGATGTTTGTAAATCAAACTTATAGAAATCAAATCACAGTTTGAACACTAAGGAAACGTGTGCATTACACGGCTGCATAATAAATTCCAGGATGGGAATACTATTATGATTGAGAATTATGACATTCTCATTTTCTGTTTGTTGAAGGTGGCTTCTCCTGCATCACCTTTGTCCATGGGGCTGCCCTGTGAGCTACAGGAGTTTATGTTTTCCAAGCAGCCCCTGTTCTCATGGGACTCCAAGTTCTTATTTTCCCTTCCTTTTGTTGAGCCATCTTTGTTGGCTTTGATTAACTCAGAACTATTATGGTGAGGAATTCAACTCATGTACAGGTCCCAATATCCAAACACAAGCCTCAGCCTCCACAACAGCAACAGGTCTCTGGGCAATAATACCAAGCAAGCAAGAACACTCCTCTGAACCACAGAATCTGAAGCAGGTAAAAGCATGACACTATCCTTGCTGTTATCGGGTCTCACACTAAAATCCTGCTGCTGGCCCCCAAACCGACTCCTGATGCCAGCCACCCTTTTCCCAACCCAAGCCACTGGTCAGACAGAAATTATCACTGGTCCTAGAAAAACAATTCAGGACCTGACCAAAAGGAGGCCTCCACTCAGTCAGTCCAGGTAAGCAAAACCTGTCAAGGCACTGGTTTCTCATCCATGGATCAGAAAGTGGGATCCTGAGTTCCAAATGGATAAGGGGCTAGAAAATACATCTTAATTTGTTCAGGAGCCAACCAAACACATTCCTTCTGCTCATGGCTTTGTCACTGTCACTGCAAAATCTTATTAAACAGTTGGAAATAAAAATAATGTGTATATCAGATCATTGTTCAAACTTATTCATCCCCACCATCACCTTCTTGAGAGAAATAGGAGTTCCTACCCCTGGGTTGGCTTTGGCCCTGGGACTTGCTTTGACCAAAGGCATGTAGACTGAAGAGACCATGTGCCAGTCCTGAACGTAGGCCTCGAGAAGCCTTGCACATGTCTAGTTGTCTTTTTGAACTCTATGCTCACCATAGGAAGCAGGGCTCCTGTGTAGGTATTGCTGTTTCACCCTGCACCCCGGAATAAAAACCCACAGGATGAAGCTGGGGGTCTTTTACAGACCCATGAGAATGACCAGGTAGTTCAAAATAATGAGACTAAATAATGTAAGCCACTGTGTTGAGGGGCCCGGGGGTGGGGGTGGGGACGCGCGCAGGGGGCAGGGGGGCGGTGAGGGTTGTTTTACATGAATTTGTCCATAGTTGAATGGCAGACCCTTGTCTTCTCTCCAGATGCAAAAGCTTCAAGTACTTACCGTCATCACCAGGCCAGCCCATGAAGTGAGCAGAAATCTGTTTCTCATCCTTCCCATACTCATTCTTGGCAACTAATTTGTAGTCCCCATTGTTCATGTGAGTGGGATTATCCAGCTGGAGGCAGCCGTGGTACTCCGTGTGATTTGTAACATGGATTTTAGTACAGATGTATTTGGACTCATTCAGTATTGCCCGGTTATAGAACCACTGAAGCGCTGGTTTGGGGTTGCCTTTCACAGTGAATGGAATGCACCAGTGGTGGTCTGAGGTTGGAGATTCGAGAAATGTGATAGTTGGAGCAACTAAATTGAAAAAGAGAGAGTTAATAGCATCAGAAAGCTCACATTTTTCCCCACTCCAGATTTCTGTGTTATCAATAGGGGGTTTTATTCAACTGTTGTTTGGTGTAAGAAGACATATGACCTTCAACCCTGGAATCCATCAATATTTTGTATCCTTATCAAGGTTGATTTAACTCCCTACAGAGAGCTTTAGAGAGACTCCTGCCCATGCTCAGCTGAAGATCCCATGCATCACAGACATTTTCACATCTATTCAATGTGGGAACCCGCGCCGAACAGATCTTAGAGATTTCTGACTGGGGAAAGGGTTCAACTGAAGTTGACTTGGGTTTATGTGCCTTGATGTTATATAGATTGATCATCAAAACTTTGAAGGTCATTATTGCAGTACTCCAATAAATAATACAAAAAAAAAAAAAAAAGACTGGAAATCTTGCCTGCAGTCTTAATCTCACCTAAATTATTTAAAACAGATCGATGTTGCAAATGTTCCTATTGATGCTGATTGTCAATAATAAATGCTCTTTAAAATAATCACATTTACTTATAATACAGTTGGGGCTTGGGGTACTATGTCAATGTTTTGATCCTTCCAATAGCTAAAGACCTATCTAAACCTGGACAAAATAGAGATTATTTTAACATTAAATATAAAGAATTTTATGCTTCGAGGGAAATAAACATTATCAAGTAGCATATCTAAACAGTAATTATCCTAGGTGAAAGTATTAAAAACCCCTCATAGTTTATTTTAATGTCATCTGACTTTGGTAATATATTCAAGGACTATAAACACTTTTGAGACCTACTAGCATTCTTTCTCAGATGAAGAAACCCAAGTCCAATTAGGGTAAATAATTTGGTCAAGGTTACCGATTGAGGCAGATCTGAAACAAGAATCCAGGTCTCCTGGTGCCCAATCCAGAAACCCAGCTTCCTGGATGTATACTTCCTTACCTAAAGGGGTAGGGGTTGGGGAGGATAACTAATGCACTCTGAGCAAGGTCACTGCAAAAATTAGCTCAGTTGTTAATATTCTTTATTACTTATTCCTCCTTCTCTTTATCTAAACTTTGATAAAAAAAAAAAATAATAAAAAAATAAAAAAAGCTAATTCTTCAGACCATGGCTACCACATAGATATCAACCTAAACTGAGAACATTTTGAACTTTCATGTCCTTAGTTGTAGGTCTGTGTTGCAAACACAGGACCACAGTGGGGTTGGAATCATACTTACTAGTACCTTCCTCCCACCAGCCCATGACCTCATGCCCAGGACACACTTACTCCTTCCACCAACTCAAAAGAGCTTTGAGTGAGGTGTTGATTTAAGGCTATAAAGTTGGAAGCTTGTTGCAAACGTTTGGGTTATGACTTCAGGCTTCCAGGAAGGTCGAAATGATTAGAAATTATAAGTCCAGAGTCTACTGGGCTTAGTGCTAGTACTGCCAGTGACAAAGGATTATGGTTGGTAATTTCAGTCATTCACTCCAACCATCACATACTATAGGTCCTCTATGAATGAACGTTAATCAGTGTCTACATGTGTGCAGTGTGGATTTGTGCATACACATATCACCCATCATGTTTGTTCGTTTTTTGGTTTTTGTTTTGTTTTTGTTTTGTTTTGTTTTGTTTTGTTTTGTGTGTATGTGTGTATGTGTGTGTGTTGTTGTGTTTGTGTTGTGTGTGTTTTTTCAGAGTAAAATTCACTAATTTGTACCATCCAGCTGAGGATTTGCAATAATGTGAACAGAATATGTGATTTTTACTGAATATACATTCACATTGAGCATTACAATCTGGAATGTTAAGATAGGTGTTGCGTTATTTACTAATACTAGAAAATAATGCACATATGCTTAAGAAGTATCACTATCCTCTAACTTAGTTTCAACATATACAGAAATTTAAACAAATATAATAAAATATTTTTGCAGGTGATACTAATGTTCAATAACTGAAGTAGGAATCCTCCAACCTTCTCATGGAAACTTGATGTCAAATTAATGAGGTTATATTGTATCAACAGTACAAGTAGATGTTTGTGAATAGCCAGCCCCATACTTTAGGTATCAGAACTCTAACACTTTATATTGCTTTTATACAGAAAAAAAAAGTTTAGAAACGATTTTATCAAAATTTAAACTAAAAATTATAAACAAGAGGAGAAGAACCAGCTCAAAATATGTTCTATCAAATGAAGACTGGGGAGGCACAGAGGACAAGCTTAAAATCAAAAAGAAGCTTAAGGGAAAGACAGCAAGCACATGAGCGATAGAAATTAGCAGAAATAGAACAAGTGAATGAGGCTGATAATATTTCTTAATTAAGTATGCACAGAACACGGCATACACTTTTTTTTAACTCACTTAAGCAGCACCCAGAGTGCCCCAATGATAAATGTAAGGGTGTCCATGATCATTTGCTAGTAAAAACACATGCTGGTCTGATTACGTACAATGCACAGTGAGGTTCACAGAATCTTGATCTTCTCCTACAAGATTTTCTGCCACACAAGAGATTTGCTTTCCACTGTCATCAGATGAAATGTTAGTTATCCTTAAGGAGCCCTGTGTGTGGCTTGTTTCATTCTACAAATGAATTAACAGACAAAGATAATCTTTGTTAGGACTGGTCCCAAAGTGACAAGATTTGGGGTTTCTTCCCCTAATTAGAGAAAATAATTGATAACATCAGAAAAGGTTTTCAGCCTAATGAAGCACAGGCAAAGGAGTAAATCAGACATTGTTCTATTTCTCTAGATGTCAATTGTTTAATATGTGAAATTGATTTAATCCTGAAATGCCTACCTACCTTCCTCCAAGGGAAAAGGAGAGTCACTCACCTTGCTCATGATGACACAAAAAGCTCACTAGAGACAAAGACTCTTGCCAGTCTATTGGGTTTACATAACTAAAATGCAAACCTGCATTAGTCTTTGTTAATTAAGAATAAATAGAAAATAAATGTATACCAACAATTCCTCATATGTCGTCCTATAAAATATTAAATGATCATCACCAGGTTAATAAAATCTCAAGTTCTGAGGTACTCTCATTTGTCTATGAACACAGAGCCAAAGATAAGTCTTACCATATGTTTGGAAACCAGATTACCGACATCCCAGTACAAACTCGGAACAGGATTGCCCTCAACAATGCAAGATAATGTGATAGACTTCCCTTCCTCCACAGTGAGGTTAGGTGCAGCCAAATTTGCTGATGGCAAACCTGTGCAATAAGAGAAGTAAATAGAGACATATATAACTAAATACATGATTAAAATCACAGCAATAAATTGAAAACTCTTCATGCTTTAAAATTAATGATTATTTACTTCCCAAGACAGATATATGTTGATCTAAAAAAGAGCCAAGTTAATAAGTTTTACAGATTTAATGTGAACTAAAAAATGTGCAGTAGTAAGATTAGAAAGCAAATTTTACTCATTTCTTAAAAATAATATTGCAGAGTAACTTTATTTAAAAAAAAAAACACACTAGTTTATAAAGCTTTGTTTTCTACTTCTTTTTCTGTTCTACAGTTCCTAATGTAGTTTTTTTCCACAAAACAGGCATATATCTGGGGACCACCTTAGCTTCCCATCTTCCTCCCTCCACTTTTTAAAAATATATTTTTATTGATTTCAGAGAGGGAGAGAGAAATAGAAACATCAATGATGAGAGAGAATCATTGATCAGCTGCCTCCTGCATGCCCCCTAAAGGGATCAAACCTGCCACCTGGGTATATGCTCTGACTGCGAATCGAACCGTAACCACCTGGTTCAAAGATAGATGCTCAACCACTGAGCCACACTGGCCAGGCTCCCTTCACTTTTTTATAGTCAAGAACAAAAGAGTGAAGGGCATCTACATTTTGTTTAAAACCATGTTTTGCATTCAGAAATTCATAAATCTAACCTACTACCAGACTTCAACTTTGAAAGAGAACCAAACTATAGAAAGGAAATGTAGTTTCAAAGCATGTTTCAAAGCTATGTAAGTCATAGTTAATCATGATGGGTAAAATTGGTCATTCTATTTATGATATAATGAAAAAAGTTAAATGGATCCTTATTCCAATGAAAAGTTCTTTTGTAGAAAAAAACAGAGAAAGTACTCTTTATCTGATGAAAATTTGAATCTTATAAATATTTTTCAATATTTCAGGAGAGCATCATTTTAATACTTGTACATTTCAGATGCTAGCTTTCATGTATTGATGCTACTGTCACTTCATTAAACAATCACACCTATCAGGTGTTTGCATTGCTTTTAACCATATAGGAATCACAGTATTTTTCACATGTAGGCAGGTCCCAGAGAGTATATCAGATCCTGCCAGTCAAGTTAGTTCCTTGCTTGGTATCAGAAACTCTGCTTGGGATTGCATTCACCCCAGCAGCTGTGTCCCATGGAACTATGACACATGATTAACTCGGGAGTAACCTACAGGTCAGAAAAGGCAATTCATCTTCAATGGCCATTATATTGCAGTTAACCCACCCACCTAGCATTCTGTGACCCATCTGAGCTTCACAATGCTATGTATACTCCCTTCCCTTATGATGCAGTCCTTAGTGACAAAGCCATGACTCTTTATTACTAATCCCAGACTGAAACAAGATTTATGCAGCGTGTCTCATGGTATTCCCACCAGTGGCAGAGGACTTCCCGACAAGTTCTGGCTTGCAGGGACTGGTGTGACTTTTTCAGAATTCTTCCTTTCTGTCGCATTCATAGAGAGCAATGTTGTCCCTTTCATGGGGTTTCCAAAGGCCCCTAATCCTCTGAGTTATACAGGGCAATGAAGTAAATAGGAGTGGTCAAGAGGCAGTGCAGTTAACAGGAATAAACTAATCAGGAGTCAGGAGCCCAAGACCCTAAATCTGACTCACACTGTGTGGCCTTGGGTGAGTCATTTCCTCTATCCACGTGTTTTCTTTAAATTTTTATAAAAATAAAATTCAGCTTTTCATTTAGAAGACCAAGCTCTAACTTCTTCTTGTTCTAATATTTGGTGACAACTTCCATAACAATTAAGCTTTCCAATTTATTAAGAAGTTGTCAAGGCAAGATATAAGAAAAGGGCTTACTTAGTAAAAAAAAAAAAAAAAAAAAAAAAAAAAAAAAAAAAATCTCCTTGAAGTCAGTGGTATAATCTAGGTGACTTTTTAAAAACTATATATATTTTTAAAATCAAAATATATAGACACATAGTTTGAAGATTCTATAATTCTACAAAACTTGTTATGAAAACATTCAATCTACTTTGTGATAAGCAGTAGTCTCACCTCACCCATGTGGCACTATTTTCTATTCCCCATAGGCACTCATTTTATCACATAAAGGTTCTTTTTTTGACATTGACCTCTACATTGATAATACCATGCCTATATTACTACTTCTTGATTTCTCTGTGTTAGCATTATCTACTGATCTCTCGCTGTGGAAGACAAGATTCACTTTACACAGAAGGCCAGCCCTCCCCACATGCCCCTAGCACATTCAACATACTCTGTCTTCATGCCTTTATATATGCTGTGAAGTTAGGCTGTCTAGATGTTAAGTTTATTATAAAAACATAAACCCTTACAAACAGCTGAACCATCATACATAATAGTTGTATTTTATCAAATTTAAGTCAGCACTGATTAAAGATTACAACACTGTTTTATGTACCACTAAGGAAGGGAAAATTAAGATGCCAACTCAATTATGATGCAATGCTTTCTCACCACTGAGATCTCCTAATTTGGATATTGAAACTTCTAGATATCCCGTCAAATTTTTTTCATCCTTTTTTTCCTATGTTCCATATTTTTGTATATTTGTTCTATTTACAGGGAGATTTCTTCAGATTTACCTTTCCAATCTTCTTCTGAGGTTTTCATTTCTCTGTCCCATCTATTTATTCTCATTCTTTTTATCCTGAACGGTGTTCTATTTTTATAGCATTCCGTTTTTCTTTTATAGATGCAATGTCTCTTCTGATCTCTGTGAGATATTAATGACCATTTCTCTTTGTTTTCTCTCCATATCAACTTTGTTTCTTGTAACTTTTTCTTCCTTTCTCTCTTTGATCATGTTGTGTGTATCTTTTATAAGATTTTCTCAAACAGTTGGTGATCCTTGGCCATTCATACATCCATAAGAATGAGGTATTAGAAACATTGCATATTTATTCACTGTTGGCTTCATATAGAAAAATATTATTGGCCTCCTACTGGGTACTCTCTGATGTCAATATTATGAAATCATTTTGGGAAAGGATTGGTCAAATTATTCAAACAATGTTCTTTCCCTGTCCTCCTTGGGAAAGGAAGAAGGATGAAAATATCAATATTCAGTATGTAAATCCATCATTTTCTTGTAGTTTTCACAGCCTCAACTCTAGCTGGAGACCCTGGTGACTTGCATTTTACGTTCTTTAGAGAATAAACCTGTTGAGTAGGGAGAGGTGCAGGCGCCTAGAATGTATGAGACAAAAATGGGAATAACTGCTTCTTAATAGGCTTTCAACCAACCCCCTGTATTTGTATTGCCTGTGTCACTTCTTGAGCCTGGTAGTAGTTCTGCAACATAAACCAAGCTTCCTCTTGCCTTTCCCCACAGCCATCTTGGTAAACTCTCAGCCTTTTTATTATAAGTCAGTTACTACTCATCCAGCTGCTTTCCAGCTTGCAGGTAATTTGTGTGTTTTGTTGACTCTTCTGCCATCTGCTTTGTTCTTACAAATTTATCTGCTGATGCTGGAGGGACCATGGACCCAGGGCCTGCCATGGTGCTTGCTTTAAAGGTCTGACCTTCTTCACAGCCAGAAAACACCAATGGAGTTTGGAGACACCCCTCTTGGTACCACAAATACAAACCTAAGGGTTGAATTCCCTGCCTTTTATAAATGTATCCCATAGTTTAGAAATTCTGAGCAGAAAAGGATAAAAATAAAGAGTTTCTCAGTAGAGAATCCTATGCCATAATCTTAATTTCCATTATAAAATCTGTTATAATTTCTTTTCTTCAAGCCTAAGCTTATATAATAGTTCTAAAAATTTTTCTTTAACTACAGAAATAATAATAACATTTATATAGGCATTCACTAAACCACACATTCTTCTCTAATATTTTGTTTTCATTTTATTTAATCCTTACAACCAATCTTAAAGTTAAGTATTTCGCCCTTATTTAATTAATGCAGGCTATGAAGTTTGAAAAAGTCAAATACATCTTCTCAAGTTGCCCAAGTATCTCTGTCCTGCCATTTGAACCCAAAACACAGGATCTTCGCAACTACACTACACTATCTCCCAGACTGCATATATTCATTTTAGCATAGACCATAAACACCAGTACATATCCATGATCTAGGAATTTGATTCATTAAAAAAAATAATTACATGTCTATTTGTGAAGGAAGAGTGAGTCTCCTTTATTTATAGAGAAATTGTATCACCCTGTCATAGCTGTTTCCAAGGGAATCTGTGCGAAATTGGCCCAGTCTAGATCTTTTAAATGTAAAGTCTTACACAAATGAGTAAGCATCTGACTCACATTAATTCTACAGCATTAATATGCTGGCCAAAGAGTTAATAATGGAAAAAACAATCTGTACTTGAAATATCACTTGAGGTTTAATTAGCACAATAAAAATGAATTGGGAAGCATGAATAGCCAAGGCAGGATAAACCATTTGCCAGGCACTACTTCCTGGCTTAATATGATTTGAAATCGGCACAAGAACAGAGCAAAGCTCAGCAATGCTTCCAACAGCTTCTAGCACTACCCTAATGGGATCCTGATTTGGCTGCAGAGATGTCGTCCTGTGCACTCTGAGAAACCTCACTGGAAATAAGAGATGGTCATCTGCCCAGGCAGACAGACACCTCTGTGTCAGTGTCTCTTGACCTGGATGTGTTCAGGGAAAACATACCAGCCTGTAGACCTCAGCAAAAAATCATAAGCCATCTAGCAAAACAGCTAACTTTCTTTAGACCAGAGTTTTCATGTGCACATGAATCACCAGCTGATCTTGTTAAAAATGTTGCTTTTTTTCCAGTAGGTCTTGGTTGGGGCCCAAGAATCCATATTTCTAACAAACTCTCTGTTCCACAGACAACACTTTGAGTAGTAAGAGTTTAGACAATGTTGTTCACTAAACATCTGTTTCTACAACTATTATTCTTAAATCAACAGTGGTCTGAGTAATCACCTAGTCCACCAAACTTTCCCCA